ACTAACCGCAGGGTTAAGCTTTAAGAAGTTGAGAACCTATCGTCATTAACTAACCGCAGGGTTAAGCTTTAAGAAGTTGAGAACCTATCGTCATTAACTAACCGCAGGGTTAAGCTGTCGTCGAAATCTTCCAAAACTTTGCAATGTGACGCATCACCATATTGTAAAGTTATTATTACGTGGTAGAGCCATGCTGCAGTTATATTAGGAGTATAGTTGTAGCACGAATGGGTTGGCTCGACCGGGGAAGGACCACGCTCTCACAGAATACCAGCGTCAAATAGTAGCGTAATGCTGCTGTGTTTCGTATGGTGAGTGGTTTTCGTATGTGAGAACCGGAGACCCTTTTTACTGGAAACGGGGCATTTCATCTTAGTCCTCACGGGTGACAACGCATCTGCATTTTGATTCGTAATCGAGGATAGCTGTAGATGTCTATGGGCTTGTAGCACTTACCATCAGGTGAACTGTGTGCTCGCTTGTCACCCTATCCTATATATAAAAAAAAAGTTTCACAGAATATTTTAGAAAATAATTTCTTGTTACTTGATACTGGCAAAAGTATAACCACAGTTTAAAGATAGTCTAACAGCTGTGTAACGCCTTTGACGTCTGGCGATGCCGCCGCTTGCGTAGGTATTGAAGCGGCCAGCGTGTATACTAGGTCTGATCACGAAAATTGGAAATAAAATAATTTTGGATATTATAATAGTCATTATCATTTATTAACATTATGTGCATATTTATAAGTTAAAACAACAAGATCAGTTTTTATTACTGCTAGAAAAAATACATTTACAAGTGTTGCACTGCCAAATATTTTCGTATTGGGATTTAAAAAAAGAGGGATATATAAGCATGGACGTCCTTTGAATTCAACTTTACTTAGTAACTGATATAGTAATAACAGCAATTCACCATTCTAGATATTATCTTTTTCAAAAACTGCACTTAAAATTAGTGAAATAAACACGCTCGTGTCAACCGCATATACATGTAAAGTAGACTTAGGGTATGTTCCGAAACGTTTTCAGTATACTGCCGAATACAAATGATGTCATCAACTGACACTATATTGTACTGTCGTGCCGCCGCCATATTGCGTCGGATATCCGGACATAATAAAACAATGTTTAATTGTGTGTGCGCTGAATGAAGCATGCCAGAATTTGTTTATTTATTCAAATATAAAAAATTATAGAATAATTGCTGGTATCTCCATTAGGAGGATATAATGATTTTTGGAGCACAAAATGACAAAATAAGCGCCAACTCTTTTCCAGTATGGCGCAAATGTATGACGTCATATACTGTCCTATGTTTTGGAACGAATCACCAGTATAGCGTCGATTCATGACGTCATTTGCATTGGACAGTACACTGGGTTCTATTTTGGAACATACCCTTTATGGACTGCTCTGGCACAAGATCGTGCCGCCCCCTTCCCCGCAAGGCCTCGGCCGTTGCACAATGCTCTGGATTGTTCATTCGTTTCCCAACTGTTACACTGTCCCTCAAACTGTGGTATTACCGTACGAGTCTATAACCAAAGTAAAAAAGATGATAGATTTTTATCTTTTTTTTTTTCAGAATTTGCAAGCATGGACGCAAATCAAGGAGTGCATTCAAAATATGCCTTAAAGTCAGCTGCACCCTAGGGACGCTTTATACCAAATTTTTCCTACAAATCACACCAATATAATTGTAAGCGCATTAGATTTTTTATAAATAGATATATTATAAGTAGGTATCATTATTAAATTCTCGTCAAGATATTGATATTGAACAAAGCATCTGATATTAGCGTAACAAAGTCCAGAAAAATTATTTGTGCACTTGAGGAAAATGCTTTTTGTTCCAAACATTTAGAGGCAAATAACTTTCTAAACAATTTAACTCTTGTAAGTGTTATTATACTCTTTATTGCACACACACCATATAATAAACTTTTTTATTAACTATCTTTATTTAGAAAGGTTTTTATACTACAAGGATATGTCAGCCTTATCGTAACATGCCTTAATCCTGTTACACAAATCCTAAGTTATAAAGGGACTAATTTAGAAAGGGGGAAACAATGTGGTAAGAATATGGAACTTAATGATTCTTCTACCGCCATGTGTTGTTCCGCTTATGCTTATTCCGTTCATGTAATTTATGTACAATTAGGTGGCCTTATCGCTAAACAGCGATCACTTCCAGGCAAACTTTGGTGAAGATCATTTTTATTTAAACATCTGTTTGCATAAATCGTAGATAAACAAGTATATATTAATACTTATACACGGTATAAATAATATGAGACAATAGAATAATCAAGTATATAGTAATATATAATACATTAATGCACAAGTGTTATTCAAAGTGTAGCCAAATTTTAAACTTAAGTTCAGATATATAAATAATAATATACCGTTATTGTAGTTTTTGAAAATACCAGAACATAAGGATTCTACTTTTATTTGAAATTATCCCGAATTGAATGTGATTTATGGGCAACAACGTTTTTGCCTACCTGATGTTAATGTATGTTACCACGCGTTTTGAATTTGAATGATAAAAAGGACAGAATGTTTGAGATTTTTTAAATTAATTTCTTCATCATTTGCTTATATTACCTTCACTTCTCTGCAAATTTGGCCGGTTATTGCAAATTAACCCTGTATACATACGCATACATATACATATTTATAAATAAGTATACTTTTATTCTATACTTTTTGTATGTATTTATAATGGTGTTGTTCCGTAATGATGTCAAATATGGATCTCTAAATACCGAGCCACGTTTTTCATTAATCACTGAAACATTGAAGCAACCAACAAACTTACAATCCATCTAATCTTAAATGGACACCTGCAGGCGGCTTCAAACAAAGAACGCTACGGTAGTGTTGTCACATGGAGTATAGAGGTAAGGAGGACAATCTCCCATAGGAGAATAGTTGAAAATGTGTCCATCTGTAAGCAGTAAATATTAGTTAAAAATCTCTCCACAACAGCGCTCTAGTAGCTAGAGGGTATGAAATGAACTTAATAGTTGTCGACGGAGTGAAGTGTGCTGAGTTGAGAAATTTAATATTTATGGTGACTAGAGTAGTAGTTGATGAAAATGCAATACTTAAAACCTCAACTACTTACTTTGTCTTAATTAATTTGGCAAATATATCCTAGAAAATAGTCGCCGTAAAACACGTTGAAAGTGATTTTGAAAATAAAAATTTTGAAAACAATAAAATAAATATTATAAAAAGAATTATGGTGAAAGACTGTGCAATAAAAATTATAAAGTTCTTTAAAATTTACACTCTAGCGCCTTATTTAGCGCTTTTCTACGGACACTTTTTTATACAGAGTTTGTTCTCCTTATCCTAAATGCCTCACAGTCTGCAATTCTCCTGGCTCCTATATACCCTTCAAAAAGAGACACAGCAGTGCAAGCACCGCTATTTGGCGACAGAAATAAGAGAATAGTGCTTTCCTACCGGACTACCCACATATGAGCTCCAGGACCGAAAAGAATTTCTACTCTCATCCAGTATAAAATTGTTTGACTTTACTCTGATCATTCAAATATACTTTTCTAACTAAACTTTTCTCTTGGCATCAAAAAAATTCATCGTCATTGTCTCTGTAATATTAAAGTAGATTTAGAGATTTAGAAACTGTAGAATTCGTTCTCAACTTTCTCACAACGTGTGCAATAATATTACGAATTAGTTATATTAATATATTTACACGAGTGTTTGATGTTCTATTTAAAACAAAAGTTTTTTCCTCAATTGTACATCATGTTTGTATATAATATTTTTAATACAGATGCCCTTACTGTAATTTTTAGTTATCAGATTGAATATAACTGTATCAGTTTGGTTTGAATATTGTATTTTTAGTATGTGCATCGCATAAAGACATAAACGTATTACAATAATGATCTCGAGCGTTAAAAGCAAAGCATTTAATTGAATAAAGACAAACGTAATTCCCAATATAAATAAAATCTTTCGCGTTTTCATTATGGTGACGGGTTAAACAGCTAAGTCGTAGAGCCACCGTGCTGCTATAAAATGGTTGTAGCACGAATTGGTTGGCTCGCCGGGGTAGGGCCACGCTCTCACAGAATACCAGCTTAATGCTGCTGTGTTTCGTATGGTGAATGTAGAGAACCGGAGACCCTTTTTTGACTGGAAATGAGGCATTCCATCTCAGTTCTCAGGGCTGACAACGCATCTGCATTTTGATTCTTAATTGAGGATAAGTGTAGATATCTATGGGTCACAGCATCAGCTTATCATCAGGTGGACTGTGTGCTGGTTTGTCACCCTTATACTATAAATAAACATGGATATAGACTAAGTTTTTCAATACAATCCTTTGACTGAAGTAGAAATTACATGTTTTGGTTGAAAGGCTATGAATCAGCCATATTTAACTAAATTGTTTAATATTAATAATTTTCACTATTTCTTCTATTAAAACATTAGCTACCATTTTTACATTTATTAAATTTTGAATGCTTCACGACCAAAGCCGTCTAAAGGCTTTGTCAGACAGGACGCGTATTTTAGTGCTGCGTAGTAGCGTTATAACGTCCCGTTTTAACACGTTTACTGCGGCAAGTAAAATCATAATACTTCATCTAGTGCGGCGGCGGGCCAAAATGCGCCCCCAATGATGTTTCCGCCAGTGCGTGAGTGGTCGATCTAGACCCACCAGCACTAGGATAGATTAAATTGCTATAACTTTGTGGAAACATAATGTATACATTTTTTTTTATATTGTTAGAATGAGCTTGAACCCAACGTTCATAGGTTTGATTCGCCCCGGGATCTGCCAAACAAGAAATGAGAAATAAAGCAGGAAAAGCGGCAGGCCGATATCGACCTGAACCGCACTAGAAAGTATTTTTAGTAGTGACGGGACAGAGAAAAATAAGGGGATATCGAAAATAAAACAGAATTATCGTAAAAGAACTGTAAAATGTTTTTATTTACTTATGCCTATCTTGGAAACATGTTACGCAAAGGTTTTGGTTGCATTTCCTGCAATATTTCTTTATTTTCTTTACTTTTTTTTTTTGCTTCGGTACTATTAAAGATTTTCCGCAGTCTGTCGTAGCACCCTGCACAATTTCTTCGTTTAGCGCTCATTTCAAGAACATGGTCATTGTCCTTAGGTTTTACTTGATTTTCTGAAATGAATTTTTTTGCTTAATTCCATGTGATTTATTAAACATTGAGTTTTACCACAGAACTCGCGAAATTGAACAACTTTCCCCAGAGAACATAGGTCGAAATATGAAAAAAAAAATTTGCCTTCCCTTACAAAATTGACAACCAGCTGATTGATTTACTACTACGGGAGGTCCAACATTTTTTTTCATACTTCGACCTATATTCTTTGGGGAAAGTTGTTCAGTTTCATGAGCACATTCACCTCCTTCAGGGTTGATACCCCCCTTCCGTTACACGGTGTATAAGGTCATTTTAAATTAAGTGAAAATATTTTTTGCGAATCTCAGAACAAAAATTGTTCTGTAACATGGGCTGAGTTACACCACGGGAGGTTTTTGCGCATTTGGAATTACATGTTGTATAGGTGTAGGGTTGTCCTTCAAGGAGATAACTCAGTATCGCTTATACAACAACTTTCCTTATGGGACCCATGTTGAAATCTTAAAAAAATATTCTCACTTTTCATACAAAAAAATCAGATAGTTTATTCCTCAAATACAATTTTTAATCAGTTGATCGGATCGGTTAGTATGGGAAGCCAAAAATTTTTTTTCGAGTTTACGACATGATAGGGAAATTTGTTGTATAAACGATACTGAGTTACCTCCTTGAAGGACAGCGGTGATAACCCTAACAGCCTGTATATATAGGTATAAAATTATGTATATGGTGTATAATATAGTGGTAACAGGACCTAATGTCTATTTTGTGCAATCAAGTAGACCACTTAAAGCGTTATTTTGATGATAAATGCAGCTGAGTGCCCCGAAATAAGAACTCGCATTATGTGTTATTGAGTAAGTAAACAGTGCCATAACATACGATAATAGAACAGTAGTGCAAACAACGCCAAACATTGCTCGCAGAAAATAGCAGAGTCAGCACAAAGCTCATGCACGAAGACCATGCGCAGCCACCGTAACACTGGTAATATGTTCAAAATAATGACAATAGTTACCTGTTGCAGATGTAGAACGTCTGACGATGTTGAAACACGGAAATGTAGGAATCGCCTTCAACAATAATCTACATATGCCTACAGTGATGTTACACGTCATTATACTTACTATCAGCGCATATACTTTTTCCAGTTAATGATTGCATTAATGCCTCTGTAAATTCTTTTTTTGAAACCTTCTTATCACATTTCACGTTGTATGTGATCCACGCGTTTACTAACGCCATGCCTAACAAATATTCCATACCCACTTTTCTGAACCATTTGAGCCCTCTTTTTAATGTAGAATAGTATGAAGACATTTGGTCGCTGAAGTCAACTCCTTTTTTGTTGTTATTATACGTTAAGACACATGTAGGCTTTTTTATATCTTCATTCGTCTTCCTATTTTTTTTGCCAGTGTTGACAAGCACATCTTTGTCCTCTTTGAGAGTAGATATCATTAGAAGTTACCTTTTGTCAACCCATTTAATAACTTTAACGCCATTTTTATTCATAGCTCCTTTGATTTCACCCTTCTTCAACTTTAGTAACACTATCTCCTTAGGTAGCCCCCTTCGCTTCGAATTTAGGGTACCGCAATAACGGGTTTTTTGAGATAAGAGTTCTTCCGCCAATTCAATTGAAGAGTAGAAATTGTCTGCAATTACTACACGACATTTGTTCTCCAGCCCTTGAATGAGTTTCAGTACGGTGACTTTACCATGATTTTGTTCACGGCCATTTTCTCCCTTTCCAGAATAAATTATTGAATTATATATATACCCTTCTGGAGTGCATAACTTGTAAATTTTAACACCATACTTGTGTGATTTGTTTTTAATGTATTGTTTGAATTTCAGCCTGCCACGCCATGGTATCATTGATTCATCTATAACAATGAATTTACCTGGCGTTAATACTTCTTGGAATCTGCTGTTGAGCATATTAGCCAAATCATGAATTTTCTTCAACTTATTTGTATTGTGGATGGCTGACGAATCATCACAAAAATGCCAGAATTTCAGTAATAGCAGAAATCTATCCCGAGTCATTACTGATACAATATATTCGTTTCGATATATTGATTTTTTTGACCAATAGTCATTTATATGAGACACTTTGTTCAGACCCATTGCGAGTAGTACCCCTAGAAACTTCCGCATTTCTATATTATTCGTAGCTTTCCATGATAATAACCGAGATTTTGTTTTTATTTCGTTATTATTTTGCTTTTCTGCGATGTGTTTTAACGCATATTTATTAGTTTCTGTAACCATTTTATCTATTATTTCATCAGTTACAAATAAGGAAAAAATACCTGCAGGAGATATATCTTCTATAGGAATATTAAAAGTGCTTTCATTTAAAGTACACGCATCCAACTCAGGTGTCAAATCTGTGACAGCATCCCATTCATAGACACTATTATCCTGTGCATCTTCCTCTTCCTCTGAAACATCATTATCTATATCCGATACAACTTCACTTGCAGAATATTCATCACTCTCATCATCGCCTGTGTCACCACTTTCCTGCTCTTCATTTTCCTCCTCAGTATTTTCCGTTTCTTCCTCTCTCTCTGCATCTTCATCTTCCTCTTCAGCATTTCCTGTTTCTTCCTCTCTCTCTTCTACATCTTCTACATCAACATTTTCTGTTTCTTTCTCTCTCTCTGCTTCGTCATTAAGTGTTTCTTTCTGTCTTTCATTTTCTTCAAACTGTTTATTACGTTCTTCGTCATAAAAAACACAATTTTCATTACTTTCGGTTAACCCTTGCGACATACTGTCTTCAAAAGAATAAGTGAATGTAAGTTTTGTCTTTGGATCTTTCCTTTCTATTTCATTTTTCTTTTTTATCTTTTTATTATCGTTTCTTAGATTTATCATGTCATGATATTCGCTTTCATCTATTTTGATGCCGTACATAAGCTTAGAAGCTGATATATTGTTTAGCGAAGGACTGCATCCTCTTGAGCTATACATACTAAATCGTTCCAATGACGATGAGCTAGGCGAAGACAATCCTTTTGATGTCTGTGGTGTAGGTTTATTTTTACATTCTGTAACGCAAAAAAAAGGTAAGTGGAATAAAATTAATCTACACTAATATTATAAATGTGAAAGTTTAGATGTATGGATGTTTGCTACTCTTTCACGCAAAAACTACTGAACAGATTTAGATGAAACTTTACAGTAATATAAGTAAAAAATTAAATAAAATATGAAATTTTGAGAGATAGAGAGAGAGAGATATCTGTCAATAGATGCTCAGCAGAAACTATAACACTAAAAGCAAATAAATTATTTAAATTAAGACATACCTGTTTTAGTTACATGTGAAAACGAGACTGGTTTAAGAATATGAAATTTTCTTCCACTGGGGCTACTGAAAACGTCCGCTGTTGACAAAAAAAGTTTACTGTGACTCTTATTGTGTCTTATTTAGCGAGAAAAAGGAGTGTTGGGGTAAAAGCGGACGGATTATGGTTCAATTGAAAAGATGTTCAAAAAAAACTAAATTTTCTCGACATCAACTGTTGAAAATAAATCATTAAAATGCAATGAAAGTGTTAAGAATAATCTTTTTTCATAAAGGATGGTATTACATAAAAAATCCCCACGTCATTATGCGTCTAAGGCTGATATGTTGATATGTGTAGGTAGTAAATAAAACTTACCGCTTGTGCTTTGTTTTCCGTGCACATTTGTTTCCAAATCCTTTTTAGTTTTCTTAGTGGAAAATATTTCTTCACTGCTGTCACTATCACTGTCAATAACTGCAGGGCGAATTACTCTATTTTCCAAAATTTGTATTTTTCTTTTATTGCTTGCCATTGTTGATAATATCGGACGCTACGACAGAGCTGTTAGATAGCACAACACTAACTGGCGGGGCGCGCGCTCTGTGCGGTATCGGGTCGCCAGCTGCCTGGTGGGAGGGCGGGCCGAAATAGGCCCACTGCCGCACTCGCGGATGTTTTTTCACCGTCAGTGCGTGGTAGGTCAATAAAAGCCTGCCGTTATGTTTTGACGGGGAACAACTACGGCATTTACCGCAAGATGAAATATATATTTGTCTCTGTCGAATTTTTACAAACACCTGAGATAATCGTTTCGCACAAGCGAGAGGGACATAGTTTTCTTCGTCCGCACCAGTTCAAGTACCGCGGCAGGCCGATATCGGCCTGTTACGCAGTAAACGTGTTAACGTCGCGCGAGGTTTCGTCAAACAGAACGCTTTAGCGCGCGTTAGGGCGCTGACTCGATGACACGGCGCCGCCATTTCGCCATTCGCCAAAGCGTAGTGCAGATCGTTAGCAGTGTGAAGAGTTTGTTCGTTATGGAGATGTCGAGTGATTCAGATGTGGAAGAATTATTACTTTTATATGCTTTATCACGGTCACAGAGAAAAAGAGTATGGGTGCACGACATCAATCAAAAGAGAAAGGATTTAGGAGAATATCATCGTTTGTGTCGTGAGCTTGCATCACATGAATGTCGTTTTTTTACATACTTTTGTATGTCTCAAGATTTATTCGAATAACTACATAAACTGCTCATCCCAAAAATAAGCAAATGTACCACAAACTGGAGGATGCCTATTTCTACAAGAGAAAGACTTGTAATCTGTCTAAGGTAAGAAATATTTATTTTTTTATATACATGTTCATTGTGTTATTATTATGAAAATCAGCTGAGTTGCAATCAGATGTCGATGCTCCAAAATTAGTTACATGTAGAATATCGATTTCGCGTAGTGGTTGATGTAGCTGCTCAGGCTGTTGCAGATATGATGAAGTACTGTTAGATAAATCTATAACAGCTACTGGGGATGAATCTTCGGGCACAGAATTGGGTACTGCATAGCAGACGGAGTCTTCGGTACTAATAATGGAATAATGTGGTAAATTCAATATCTGGACGTTTTCTTGCAGTTCCTCTGTTTCTATGCTTGCAAGTAACTTGGCTAGTTCTACTTTGGCTTTTATCTGTTTGTCTTTGGAAAAACTTTTAAATGTTTGGGCATAACTTTGGAATATGTGATCTATGGCATCATACTCTTGTTTTTTTTATTTTGAAGAAAATTTATAACTTTATCCATTTCGCTGTCAGTTTTTTTTTATTTCTTACCTCGTGAACTATTTGTGTCATTTGTTTGGGGCGTCTCTAGCGGAGGTGTTTCTGGCGGGGGTGCGCTTTGTGTTCTTGGTGGAGGTGTCTGTGGTGGAGGCGTCTCTGGAGATTGAGTTTCTATAGCTGACGATGTTTCTGGTGTAGGTTCTCGAATATTTGAAGTTGTTTCTCGATCTGTCAGAGTTGAGTCAAGGAACTGTAACTGGGAAGCCCAAGGCCATTTTGTAAATTTTTTTGCAGCTTGTCCTGTAGTACCTGCAACCTCTTTTTTTGTATCTCATATAATTGTCCCTCAAGCTCTTCCATTTTTTTTTAGCTACTTCACCTGTAAAATAAACATAAATTGTATTATTTTGTTTCAGGTACTTAGCTACGGGTGATTCACATCAGACCATGGCCTTTTCCTTCCGAGTAGGTCGTTCAACAGTCGGTGGTATTGTAAAAGAAGTGATAACATGGAAACAATCAGAGAAGGGTTATAGGGAAACCTGGAACTTCCCGAATTGTGTCGGTAGTATTGACGAGAAACATGTCTCTATAAAGTGTCCCAAAAATAGTGGATCAGAATATTTTTGCTACAAGAAATTTTTTTTCTGTAGTTCTTCTTGCTATAGTCGATCCATGTTACAAATTCACCGTCATAGATGTCGGTAGTTACGGGCGGCATAGTGATAGTGGTATATTCGAGAAATCAATATTTTATCGGCAATATATCCACGGAAAATCTCTGCTGCCAGATAAACCTCTTCCAGGCACCGAGGAGCCCGTACCTCATGTACTTATCGGCGACGAAGGTTTTGCTTTAAAAACATATTTGATGCGTCCATTCCCAAGAGCCTTAGCTACACAAGACGAAAGAAAAACAAATTTTAATAAAAGACTTTGCAGGGCACGTCGGGTGGTTCACAATATGTTCGGAATATTAGCACAAAAATGGCGCATTTTTTTACGACCTATTTTGACTGTGATGTGGACACAGCAATTGATATTATTAAAGCTGCATGTTGTTTACATAATTACTTACGAACAAAACAAGGTACAGCGATATTAACTCCGGAGTCGGAAGACGAAAACGTACCTATGCGTGCTCTAATAACTCATCGTCCAACAAATAGAAGATCAACGACAGCAGCATTCGAAACTCGTGAACAATTTGTGTCTTATTTTAATCAATAAACGATTTTTTTTACTTACCAGTTTCATTAATTTCTTCTCCGATTTGTGCCCACAATTTTGCCTTCATTTGATATATCTTTATACGAACTATCCTTCGTATTATATAAGCATGGATATTTTCTAACCAATTCTATCAAATTTTCGGTCATTATGCAGTATTTTATTATTATTTTACACCTATTCACTCCGACGCTAAAATAAAATTTGTAAAAAAATACAACACCCGACGTTAAAGCGTCCTAACGCCGCGACAGAGCGTTGCGTACTGCTAGCGTCGGCGCTCTGTTTGACGGTATTCTACGATGGTAGTACAACACATCTTAGCGTCATAGCGCGGCGTCAAGTTAACGCTCTGACGCGCGCTAAGTACGCGTCCTGTCTGACAAAGCCTTAAAGCCAACTGGTATTAGAGCATCTTAGGGCTTAAATTCACATCATAATAATTCCTAATTACAATAATTTAAAATGTAATGTTAACATAAAGCAAATATCAAAAATAATTGTTTTTGAATCATAAAGTTATAAGCATTACACAAAATAAATCATAAAACTATATTTTGTGAGTGGACACATTCAATTATTTAATATTACTTTTCATTATATTGAAATGTAATATTAAACTTATAATTACTTAATGTAAATAAATTACTTAATTTCAAATAATGTTTTTATTGAGTTTAATTAATTAGTTAGTTAATTAAACTTGATAACATCCAAATAAATAGATTAATTTGTGTTTAATATTTCTTCATTTATACTTTAGGGAGTACTGTACACCTTCCTCAGAGAAAATGGTAGTTGGCTAGGCCAGTGTTTCTTAATTAGTGGTTTGTGTACTCCCAGGGCTGTGAGGTTTCCTGATGAGACACTCTTTAACTACACTCTTTAACTATGATAATAATATGGCATCTCTTGACTAAGGTAAAAAGCTACACAAAAATTACAATCGCAAAGTTACACTACACATGTATGACAAATATTTTGTCCCATTAAACTTTGATTTTCAATATACAACTCAATTGAAGAAGTTTGCACCTGGTACCAGATATTGTAATAAAATAATCCAAAAACTTAACAAATAGTAGACAAAATTAAGATGTGCCTATCAGTGACGGTAAGATGCAAACCATACCGCCTCAACTGTATAAATGGGGAGGGGAAATGGAGGGTTCTCGCATTGCGGTGAGGTGCAAACTTAACTGAGTTGTAATTAAAATTGTTTAGAAGTTGTTATATAACCAAAAATTGTTTTATATTTTACATATCATTTTAACAACTATGCAAGCTTGAGACGGCCTTCTTAAAGTTGAGCAGGAAAAATTTATCAGGAAACCATCAATTAAAGCTTGTGCTGGATAAAAACAATAAGCTCTTTTAAAAGTGAGGCTTACATGTAAGAACAATTTGTCTTGGGGATTGTTAAAGTACTAATAATTAATAATGTAAAATGTACACCATTCAACATTAAGTCTTCATTTTTAGTTATCATAAATCTAAATTTAAATTTTACAGAGATTTTAAAAGTAAACTTGATTAAAACGATTCAATATTCCTGGAAGGACCAGCTTCTGCCTCAGGTTTGTTTTCTTTCTTTTTGATAATACACTGTATTTTGACAATATATCAAAAATCCATTCAGAGCTCCTGCCAAAGAAGACTGAAAAAAAAAGAAAACAAATCTACAAAACAACAAAACGATTCAATATCCCTGGAAGGACCAGCTTCTGCCTCAGGTTTGTTTTATTTCTTTTTTTCAGTCTTCTTTGGCAGGAGTTCTGAATGGATTTTTGGTAATACACTGTATTTCTGTATTTTGGCAATACAGTGTATTAACAAAAATCCATTCAGAACTCCTTCCAAAGAAGACTTAAAAAAAAAACAAATCTACAAAACAACAAAACGATTCAATATTCCTGGAAGGACCAGCTTTTGTTTCAGGTTTGTTTTCTTTCTTTTTTCAGTCTTCTTTGGCAGGAGTTCTGAATGGATTTTTGGTAATACACTGTATTTTGGAAATACAGTGTATTACACTGTATTTTGGCATACAGTGTATTACCAAAAATCCATTCAGAACTCCTGCCAAAGAAGACTGAAAAAAAAACAAATCTACAAAACAACAAAACGATTCAATATTCCTGGAAGGACCAGCTTTTGTTTCGGGTTTGTTTTCTTTCTTTTTTCAGTCTTCTTTGGCAGGAGTTCTGAATGGATTTTTGGTAATACACTGTATTTTGGAAATACAGTGTATTACACTGTATTTTGGCAATACAGTGTATTACCAAAAATCCATTCAGAACTCCTGCCAAAGAAGACTGAAAAAAGAAAACAAACCTGAGGCAGAAGCTGGTCCTTCCAGGAATATTGAATCGTTTTGTTGTTTTGTAGATTTGTTTTTTTTCAGTCTTCTTTGGCAGGAGTTCTGAATGGATTTTTTGGTAATACACTGTATTGCCAAAATACAGTGTAATACACTGTATTTCCAAAATACAGTGTATTACCAAAAATCCATTCAGAACTCCTGCCAAAGAAGACTGAAAAAAAGAAAGAAAACAAACCTGAAACAAAAGCTGGTCCTTCCAGGAATATTGAATCGTTTTGTTGTTTTGTAGATTTGTTTTTTTTTTCAGTCTTCTTTGGCAGGAGTTCTGAATGGATTTTTGGTAATACACTGTATTGCCAAAATACAGTGTAATACACTGTATTTCCAAAATACAGTGTATTACCAAAAATCCATTCAGAACTCCTGCCAAAGAAGACTGAAAAAAGAAAGAAAACAAACCTGAGGCAGAAGCTGGTCCTTCCAGGAATATTGAATCGTTTTGTTGTTTTGTAGATTTGTTTTCTTTTTTTTTCAGTCTTCTTTGGCAGGAGCTCTGAATGGATTTTTGATATATTGTCAAAATACAGTGTATTATCAAAAATCCATTCAGAGCTCCTGCCAAAGAAGACTGAAAAAAAAAAGAAAACAAATCTACAAAACAACAAAACGATTCAATATTCCTGGTGGGACCAGCTTCTGCCTCAGGTTTGTTTTCTTTCTTTTTTCAGTCTTCTTTGGCAGGAGCTCTGAATGGATTTTTGATATATTGCCAAAATACACTGTGTATTATCAAAAATCCATTCAGAGCACCTGCCAAAGAAGACTGAAAAAAGAAAGAAAACAAAGGGGGTGCCCGTGTGATATTCTAACAAATTAAAAAGGGATAATTTAAAACACAAGATTTATCAGTTTCTTCGTATTTGTTGTTACTGCTTAGTACTCTTTCAGATTGGAGGCGGGCGCGGGTGCTAGCGCGGGCGCGTGTAAATCAAAATGTATGTAGACACCAGTTGCATTCAGAGTGCTCCCGCGAGCCGAGCGTCTGCATGAGGCGGGTGCGGGCGCACTCGGCGCGGGTGTTTCTAAGCGCCCAATCAGACTGCACTAGCGGGTGCGGGGGCGGGCGCGGGCGCTCGGGTCTTGGCGTCTGCATATTCAGAGTGCCAAACGAGCTACGAGTGTCATTGCAAATGTGTTTGGTTGTTCTCAAACTTTGCTACGTATATAGAAGACATAGATGAAGATTTTCTTTTGAAATACATACATACTTGAAATGGAAATTGCAATATAGAAGTTTGGCACACACGATTTAAATAAAGGAAGAGAGGAATTTGGAGAATTTTATGTATTATACGCTGATTTACGGACGTATTCCGATAAATTCTTTGAATACACGAGAATGTCATTAGACACTTTTGAATACATATTAAATAAGATCTCCGAGATCCATGTTTAGTCAAGATTGACACCAATTTATTTCTTCCCATAATTTATTTATTTATGGCCACCCTATTTAAATGTTACAGATGTTTGCCCTGCCAAATAGCAGTGCGATGTTGTACTGCAGATATAAATTCTTCCGTATTGATATCCATGATGATTGACGACGCTTCGGCGGGTGAATCAAAATGGTTTAGAACCACAAGCGTAGTCACCTAACAGGCGCTAGTTCACTGTGAACGATACGAGCGGACTGAGCCATTAGAAACACCCGCACCGCCCGCGCCCGCGCCCGCCTCATGCCGACGCGCGGCGCGCGGGAGCACTCTGAATGCAACTGGCGTCTACATACATTTTGATTTACACGCGCCCGCGCTAGCACCCGCGCCCGCCTCCACTCTGAAAGAGTACAAATGGCTTGGTCCGCTCGCATCGTTCACAGTGATTTAGCGTCTGTTAGGTGACTGCGCTTGTGGTTCTAAACCATTTTGATTCACCCGCCGAAGCGTCGTCAATCATCATGGATATCAATACGGAAGAATTTCTGCCAACATCGCACTGCTATTTGGCAGAGCAAACATCTGTAACATTTAAATAGGGTGGCCATAAATAAATAAATTATGGGAAGAAATAAATTGGTGTCAATCTTGACTAAACATGGATCTCGGAGATCTTATTTAATATGTAGCCAAAAGTGTAATGACATTCTCGTGTATTCAAAGAATTTATCGGGATACGTCCGTAAATCAGCGTATAATACATAAAATTCTCCAAACTCTTCTCTTCCTTTATTTAAATCGTGTGTGCCAAACTTCTATTTTGCAATTTCCATTTCAAGTATGAATTTTCCATTAATAAAAGCAAATCTTCATCCATGTCTTCTAAATACGTAGCAAAGTTTGAGAACGACCAAACACATTTGCAATGACCCTCGTAGCTCGTTTGGCACTCTGAATATGCAGACGCCAAGACCCGAGCGCCCGCGCCCGCCTCCGCACTCGCTAGTGCAGTCTGATTGGGCTCTTATTTCTAGATAATAAATACATATCTAATATATATCTCTAATAAATCTAAACAACGACAACTCTAGTTGAGTTGTCGTTGTTTAGATTAATTATTATTTGATTTTCAATAATGCCGTCAAATTTAATGTCTCTTTTAAAGTCATCCATAATCATTTTTTTATTTTTTTACCACTTTTGCACAATCATTATTTGTGACATGTGCACATGCTTCAACGAATATAGAAGAAACAGTCCAAAAAGTTAATAGCCAGTCACAAAATAAAAAGACAAACATAAAATCAC